ATCTGTCCTCATGACCCAAACACCTTCCACTAGGCCCCACCTCTCAACAAACACTGCCACATTGGAGATCAAATTTCAAAATGCATCTAAAAGGGAACAAACCACATCCAAACCATAGCACCATCTTAACAATATTAAGTTTCCTGATCAATGACTATGGGGTGTCTTTCCATTTATTTAAATCTTCTTTAATTTCTTTCAGAAAATTTTGTGGTTTTCAGAATATAAGTTTTTTATTTCTTTTTATTGAATTCATTCCTAAGTACTTTATTCTTTTTGATGCTGTTGTAATGAAATGGTTTTGTTAATTTCATTTTCAGATTGTTTATTGCAAGTGTAAAGAAATACAATCAATTTTTGTATATTGGGATTATATTCTGAAAACTTGCTGAATTCATTTATTAGAACTAAAAGTTTTCTTAGTGAAATTTAAAGGACTTTCTATATACAATATCTTTTCATTAGAGAATAAGTTAGTTTCACTTTTTTTTCTCATCTGTCCTGACTAGAATCTTCAGTACAATATTTAATAAAAGTGGCTAGAGTGAATAGCCTTGCCTTATTATTAATCTTATGGGAAAAGCGTCTAGTCTTTCACCATTAAATATATTAGCTATGTATTGTTTATAAATGCTCTTATAAGGTTAAGGAAATTTGCTTCTACTACTAGTTTGTTGGATGTTTTTAATCATGAAATGGCATGGGATTTTGTGAAATGATTTTTCTGTGTTTATTGAGAAGATTGTGTGTTTTTTTCATTCTGTTTGTATGGTGTATTATAAGATTGATTTTCATATGTTGAACCAACTTTGCATTCCTGGGATAAATACCTCTTGGTCATGGTATATAATCCTTTTTATATGCTGCTGGATATAGTTTTCTAGTTTTTGATTGAGGATTTTTTGCCATAAGGAATATTGGCAAATATACTATATTTTTATATGTTATAGATCCCATGATATGTTTTATATACACACTTTATATATATGCATACAATTAAATATATATTATATTTATACATTGTATATACACACTTACAAAAAATATATATATACACACATATATAAAATTATGTAATTGCTTTTATTTTATTTTATTTTATTTTTTTTTGAGATAGAGTCTCGCTTTGTTGCCCAGGCTAGAGTGAGTGCCATGGCGTCAGCCTAGCTCACAGCAACCTCAAACTCCTGGGCTCAAGCGATCCTTCTGTCTCAGCCTCCCGAGTAGCTGGGACTACAGGCATGCGCCACCATGCCCGGCTAATTTTTTCTATATATATCAGTTGGCCAATTAGTTTCTTTCTATTTATAGTAGAGACAGGTCTCGCTCTTGCTCAGGCTGGTTTTGAACTCCTGACCTTGAGCAATCCACCCGCCTCGGCCTCCCAGAGAGCTAGGATTACAGGCGTGAGCCACCGAGCCCGGCCTGTAATTGCTTTTAAATAATTTAAGAGAAGAAAGAACACAATGTTTTCTAGGTTTTAAAAAATTTCCTATTGAGAGTTCAGAAAAATATTAAGAAATATTTCCTTTCAGATTATTTTGGTTTAATTGTTTCCACCATTAACTCTGGTCCCCAGAGTTCATTTTGGTGTTTTGTCAGAAGTAATAAATTTTTTTTCAAACTGCTAAGAAACTATCCCAGATAATCCGTTGAATAATTCTCCTTCCCCTCTTTCACATATATTAAAGTATTATATGTAAAAAATTCCTGTGTCTCCACCATATTGTTTGTGATGCATATCTCATGTTTTCTTCCTTATTTTCTTTAAGGAACTACTCTTCCACTTTCCACCAAGTTCTGATGTAGCTGCCAATGATTTTGCCACCACCAGTACTGGCTATAGGGATGCACACAAGAAGGTCAACTACCAATTACAGCGCTTTAACCCCTTGTTCCAAGAAATTGGTCCAAGTGATAGGTATAGGACCCAGGCAGGATCAGAACCCTTCTCTGGCATTAAATATATAATTTTTCAGAAAAAAAAGTTCTCTCTGAGATTGTTAACTTGAACAATATCATTAGTATTTTCTATAAACTAGTAGTTTGATTGGAGACTTAAATCAAAGACTCACGCCTGTAATCCTAGCACTCTGGGAGGCCGAGACGGGCGGATTGCTCGAAGTCAGGAGTTCGAAACCAGCCTGAGCAAGAGTGAGACCCCGTCTCTACTATAAAGAAAGAAATTAATGGCAACTTAATATATATAGAAAAATTAGTCGGCATGGTGGTGCATACCTGTACTCCCAGCTACTTGGGAGGCTGAGGCAGTAGGATTGCTTGAGCCCAGGAGTTTGAGGTTGCTGTGAGCTAGGCTGATGCCATGGCACTCTAGCCTGGGCAACAGAGTGAGACTCTGTCTCAAAAAAAAAAAAAGAAAAAAAGAGAGATAACCAATGTCTGATCAATTCTTTTATTGGGATATAAGTAGCCATTGATGCTCAATAATTAGATCCATTAGTTCATGGTGAATGTAAATGGTAATATATTAATTTTATCATTCCTTTGTTTTATATTAGCTTGAATATTTCCTTAAATAGAAACTTCCCTTCATCTATTGTGACATAATTATAATTATTTTTAAATTGTATTTAATTATATTAGATCTACACATTAATTGAAAAGAATAGACATCATTACAATAAATATTCAGCCCTCACATTCAGAAACACTGCAATTCTCTCTATTTTTTTTTTTTTGAGACAGAGTCTCACTCTGTTGCCCGGGCTGAGTGCCGTGGCATTAGCCTAGCTCACAGCAACCTCAAACTCCTGGGCTCAAGCGATCCTTCTGCCTCAGCCTCCCGAGTAGCTGGGACTACAGGCATGTGCCACCATGCCCGGCTACTTTTTTTTCTATATATTTTTAGTTGGCCAATTAATTTCTTTGTATTTTTTAGTAGAGACGGGGTCTCACTCTTGCTCAGGCTGGGTTCGAACTCCTGACCTTGAGTGATCGGCCGCCCGCCTCAGCCTCCCAGAGTGCTAGATCACAGGCGTGAGCCACTGCGCCCGGCTTCTCTCTATTTTTAGAGTATTTTTTTTAAAGTAAATCCTTTAAGAAAGGATTTTTAAAACTCTTTTCATTTCCTCTTACCTCTCAGGCAAGACTCCTCCTAAAGCCATTTAAATAGATGCAAATCTCTCCTATTTGAGGAATTTTAGAGATGAAGACTCCATAAACTTAGTAACCAATATGTGAGGCAAACACCTAGGCAAAGTGTTTGCTAGAGGCTAATTTTAGCTTAAAGAATGCCAGTCATGTATATATACACACACACATACATACATATATATGTGTGCATATGTGTGTGTGTATATAAATATGCACAGACTGTAGAATACCCAATTTCGCAGTGATCATGAGAATTGATATTCTATTTCCTATTTGTCCATTCTAGAGCAGAGCTAAAGTCCTTGATTGGTCCTCCATAGGCTTGCATTCCTGAGTAATTGGGAGTCTCCTGGGAAGTGTGTTAGATTGGAGATGAGATGATTGTTAGCAGTCTAAAACTTATGTATTCATCTTTATTTTTAACTGTCAGATAACTTTTTAATCTATAAATTTACAAAAGTTTGAAAATACCATGGAGAATCTTAGGAATCCCAGTAATCAGTGAATGGGATATCTATAGATCCATAACATCTACAGGCTAAATCCACTCAGAATGCTTCTCAAAGTAGGAGTATGAGAAGTTAATAATTCTTCTGTCTGGCTTCCTCTTTGCCTTTCCCTCTCCTGTCTTCAATCACCTGTGTCACAGGACACATATAAATAGGTGGGAGGTGTTAAACTTTGACAGTAAAGCGAAATCAGAGTTGAAGGCAATTGTTTAACCAATCACATTTAAACAAGCTGCTGAATGAATAGTTTCAGGGTTTTTTTTGTTTGTTTGTTTGTTTGTTTGTTTTGAGACAGAGTCTCGCTTTGTTGCACAGGCTAGAGTAAGTGCCGTAGCATCAGCCTAGCTCACAGCAACCTCAAACTCCTGGGCTCAAGCAATCCTCCTGCCTCTGCCTCCCGAGTAGCTGGGACTACAGGCATGCGCCACCATGCCCGGCTAATTTTTTTCTATATATATTAGTTGGCCAATTAATTTCTTTCTATATTTATAGTAGAGAGCGGGTTCACATCTTGCTCAGGCTGGCTTCGAACTCCTGACCTCGAGCAATCTGCCCGCCTCGGCCTCCCAGAGTGCTAGAATTACAGGCGTGAGCCACTGCGCCCGGCCTAGTTTCAGGTTTAAAGAGTCAAATATTCTACACTCCTGAGAAATCTTAGTTTCTCATTCTGGTGAATATTTTCACATCGCACTTTGCTACTATAAACTAACTGGTTATACATTTTTGAGTGTCGATTTACTGCTCAAGATTTGAATTTAGGGGACTAAAAGAAAACATTTTGTATCTATGTATTTTATAAAAATGCATCCATAAGAAAGGAGTCATGCATCAGTTTCCAACTGGGGGAGCATTCTCATGGAGGTACTGTAAGACTAAATCTGTCCAATTCATTTCTTGTTCTTTGACAGATTCTGTGCTGCCACGATGGCTTGTTCAGGTTCGGGAAGCTCATTCAGTGGTATCATAGCATCTTCATAAGGCAGCTTGTCTTCTTGCCAAGCATTGTCGATCAAATCCAAAATCTTCCAGCTCTCTGTACCTCACTGTCCATTTACATGCAGCTTTGATTTTGTCAGATCTGCACCTGGCCCAACACAGCACCCACTTCCTCCAGCCATGCCCTTGGAACCTGTATTTATCTTTAGCTGATGGCATTTAAAATGCCTAGTAACTAGATCAACTTCTACCTCCAAGAATTAGGAGCCAAGTAATTTGGACCATTTCTTCTGTTGAAGACAACCTGAATACCAAAACCAAACCAAACTAAACTAAAAAAAAAAAATTGCTTGAAGACATCAGAGATCAAATAAAATAAGACTTTCATGGCAATATGTGAGGGGAGATGAAAATCCAGAAATGTAACCTTCTGATTTACAGTGACTTGTTGCCTGGAGACATTTGCCAAGTAAAGAAGAGAAACCAAGAGTCTGAGCAGTACTTTTAATGGCCTCATGGAGGGAGAATGGTAAAAGTTGGATTCCAAGACCTGCAAAGGAGGAGTAGTTATGGTAAGCCACTTACCATTAACCCCAAAGGGCTGAACCCTGGAAACACTGGTGAACAGGAAATAGATCAGTCCTCACAGGTACTATGTGTCATGTCATGTCAATCTCCAGAATTTGATTATGTTTATTCATAAGTGCTAATGTCTCAGAGTGTCTTCCCTGCTTGAAAGAAAATAAATACACTATGCAGTAGAATAATGTTATCCTAGCCATCAAATTATTTCTGTAAACATTTTCAGATACAATGTCCAGCACACAATAAAAATTAACCAGGTACCTAAGGAGACATGACATACAATTGAGAACTATTTAATAGCAGAAACAATAAATAACAGAAACAGGCTCTTATGGTCTATTAGAATTATCAGAAATAGGCTTTAGAATAAGTATGTTTACAATGTTTAAGAAGATAAAAGATAAGATTGAGAGGTTTTGGAGCTATAGAAAATAACAGACTTGAAAGTCTTACCAAATTTAATCTATAAGTGAAAAATGAGTAGTTGAAATTAAATCTTAGGTTAGACACATTTGAGTAAAAGAAACTATTGAGAACAAAGCACAAAAAGACAAAAGCATGGAAGATAAAGAATAAAGAATATAAGCCACGGACGTTAAAGTGTGAAAAAACAACATATGGTTGAAGTCCCAGAATAATAGGAAAGAGACTAGGAAGAGGCAATATCTGAAGAGATAATAGCCGAGAATTGTCAAAAAGCTGATGAAAAAATAGGTTAAAAATTCAAGAATCCCAGCTAGGCATGGTAGCTCATGCCTGTAATCCTAGCACTCTGGGAGGCTAAAGTGGGAGGATCGCTTGAGGTCAGGAGTTTGAGACCAGTCTGAGCAAGAATGAGACCTCATCTCTACAAAAAATGGAAAACTTAACCTAGCGTAGTGACACATGCCAGCTACCTGGGAGGCTGAGGCAGTAGGATCCCTTGAGCCCAGGAGTTTGAGGTTACAGTGAGCTATGATGATGCCACTGCACTGTAGCCAGAATGAAAGAACAAGACTCTATCTAAAAAAAAAAAAAGAAATTCGAGAATCCCTAAAAACCCTAAATAGGATAAAATGAAATAAATTGACACGTAGTCCCATCATGGTCAAATTTATGAAAGTGTAAGTAGAAAATATTGAAAACCAGGTGTGGCGGGGAAGCAACCAGAGGGGGTAAAGACAGATTATTTTCAAAGGAGCAATAATTAGACTAATATCCAACAGCTAATCTCTAAACAGAAACAATGGAAGCCGGAAGACAATGGTATGATAACTTCAACAGACTGAAAAAAAATAATGACCAAAGTAGAAATCTATATGCAGTGAAGTATTCTTCAATAATAAAGGGGAAATAAAGACATTTTCAGACAAAAACTGAGCAAATTACACATCTACTTACACATCTACGCCAAAGGGAATACCATAGGGTACTTTTTAGGTAGGATAAAATGATCTCAGTCGAAGATGTTGATAGGAGTGAAAGCCATGAAATTAAAATGTTTGCATAAATCTAAATGAGTATTTACTGCATAAACAGTAATAATAATGACTTTGTCTTTAAAATATTGAGAAAAATACAGAATAATAATATATTAATTAAGGGGAGATAAATATTGTTAAAGTAGTCTAAGATTCTAACATTTTCTAGAAAGAGGGTAAAAGTACCTGTAAATAACAAATTTTGATAAATCACAAATGAATGTTGTAATAATTACGGCAACCATTAAAATTGTGATAAAATAGTAAATAATTTCCCAGTCAATGATAAGGAGATTGAGTTCATCAAATAATTGTAAGTGTGATTAAGCTAGAGAAATTTTAATGAAAAATATTATTATATATTGCATAAGACATGAACTCATTCTAGGCAATGAAAATCTTGAATAACTGGCACTTACTTAGCATTCTATCTCTCATTTATGGCTATTTCACCTTTTCATTATAATTTCTGAGAAGCCAATTGTTTCCCAAAGGATTTGTTTAAAAATATCTAATTTCATGCTTTTTATTCTCAACTAAAAATAAAATGGAATTAAACATGTGCAGAATAACTGAATGCCAAGTAACCAGTTATACAGCCAGCTCATTTACACTGAATTAGTAATTTGCTCAGTCTGCAATTTATGTTAATTAAGGAAAGATTATTTTATGTTATACATTTACATAATGACATAAAGTCTCATTCTCTCCTCTGTAAATGTTATTATTATCTTAAGTTTCAGTTCTTTTCCACTATTAGCCTCTTAGAGTAATCCATATAATGTTGTCATTTTCATTATACATTTTCTGGCACTGTAATTGGGAGAATATTTAACTTAAAAGTTAAATAAGTATCAAAAACACATAGGATTCCCTTGGCTTCAACAAACTGTGTGATACTCTGCATAAAATTACAGTCATTCCTCAGCATCCATAGGGGATTGGTTCCAGGACCTCCCACAGATACCAAAATTTGCTTAAGTCCCTTATATAAAAATGGCATAGTATTTGCATATGACCTGTGCACATCCTCCTGTATACTTTAAACCATCTCTAGATTGTTTATAATAGCTAATACTATGTAAATGCTATGGAAATAGTTGCTATACTTTATTGTTTAGGGAATACCAATTAAAAATATGTACATGTTCAGTACAGATGCAATTTTTTTCTAAATATTTTCCATCGCAGTTGGTTGACTCCATGGGTGCAGAACCCACAGATATAAAGGGCCAACTGTATATATTAACAAAGATTAGACTGCCACTATGACATATTTATTTTAAAATAATTTATATTTTAAGGCTATTTAAGGCTCTTATGCTTTATAAGCTTTTAACTCTTTTTAATGTAATTATGTTTTTATAAAATCTTTTTAATTATTATTTAATTTGTATTCTTTTTTTCCTTATATTGCAAAGAATAAACATTGACTTCAGTATTGTTCAGGGTTCTCGAGAGAAAGAGAACAAGTAGGATATAGACACATAGATAGATAGATAGATAGATAGATAGATAGATAGATAGATAGATAGATAGATATACAGTTGAGTTTTCATTGCCTGAAATTTTGGGGGCCAGAAGTGTTTCAAATTTTGGATCTTTTTGGATTTTGGAATATTTGCATGTACATAATGAGGTATCTTAGGGATGAGATCCAGGTCTACACATAGAATTCATTTATGTTTCATAAACATCTGTAAACATAGCTTGAAGGTAATTTTTTACAATATTTTAAATAATTTTGTGCATGGAACAAAGTTTTGTTTGTTTTGTTTTGTTTTGAGACAGGGTTTCTCTCTGTCACCCAAGCTAGAGTGCAGCGGCACGATCATAGCTCACTGCAACCTCAACACCCTGGGCTCAAGTGGTCCTCCTGCCTTAGCTTCCCAAGTAGCGGAAAGGTCTTCACCACCACATCCAAATATTTTTTCTTTCTTTCTTTCTTTCTTTTTTGTAGAGACGGGGGGTCTTGCTATGTTGCCCTGGCTGGTCTTGAACTCCTGGCCTTAAGTGATCCTCTCGCCTTGACTTCCCAAAGTGCTGGGGATCACAGGTGTGAGCCACCGAACCTGGCCAAACAAAATTTTGACTGCATTTTGACTGCGACTTGTCACATGAGGTCAGGTATGGAATTTTCCACTTGTGGTATTATATCAGCACTCAAAAAGTTTCAGATTTCGGAGGATTTTTGATTTTCAGATTAGGGATGATCAACCTATATAAGAGGAGATTTACTGTGGGAATTTGCTCACACAATTATGGAGGCTTAGAAGCCTCACAATTTTCCATCTGCAAGCTGGAGAACCAGGAGAGCTAGTGGTGTAATTCAGTCCAAGTTCAAAGGTTCAACAACCAATGTCTAACATCCAGGGAAGATGGATGTCCCAGCTCAAGAAGAGAGGGTATATTTGCCCTTCCTCTGCCTCCGTGTTCCATTTGGGCCCTCAATGGCTGGATGATGCTTGACCACACTGGGAAAGGCGTATCTCCTTTACTTGGTCTATGGATTCAAATTCTGGAAGGACTGTCACAGACACACCCAGATAATGTTTTACCAGCTCTCTGGGTGTCCTCTAATCCAGTCAAGTTGACATATAAAATTAACTGTCACACCTTGGTTGTATTTGTTCTGAATCTGTGTCTAGCCAGTACATAATTTTATGTACTTAAGGCCTGAATCATTATTAGTTAAGATGATCTGGGGGAAATGGGACAGTTTATTCTTCATCTATACTTCCTACATTCATCAAATAATTGGCAACTCTCTAAAATAAGTAAAAACCTAAAATTTTCAGTTACATCTTGGCTACTGACTTGCTTTTGTCAACTCAATATACTTCTCTAGGCTTTTTAGCTTTCCTCTTTGCAACCTGTCCTTGTCTATAATGTGTATTAGAGTAATTTGATCTCCTGTTAGAAAGGAATTTCTGCAAATCCGCAGTATTTTTATTATTCTTCCTTGGAATACTCATGTCTAAAGGTTTTGGCTGAAAAAGAACCCAAGTATTTCCCTGAGCTTATTAAGGGCCTCCCCACACATCTAGGCCTCAATGTAAAGCTTGTGCAAAGCGCAGCAACCTCTAAGGACAATGAGTCTGTGATGTTTGTCATCTTATTGTTCATTGTTTCCTTAACTTTTTGTCTATAAGAGGCTGCTTTTCCAGTGTTTCTCTCTAACATTTGTTTCTGCTGTCATGGCATCTTTCCACCCAACATTTAGTTGTTTATTGTGAGTCAGAAAAGCATCTGCAATAGAGAACTTAACTTATCCCACTAGAGACTTCGGGCCCAGAGCTGAACTACCAAGGAAATTCTGGAATGAGCAAAGTCTAGACATGAGTAGCTGCTAAAAAATATAAATGTATTCTAATGTAGTATTCTCAGCAAAGAAGGAGACTAGCTCTTTATCAGAGCTAAACTTGCAGAAATACAAGTAAATTAAATGGGCGGAAGTAAATTAAATGTTAAAACTAGGTTAATTCAGAAAATACCACTAAATTAGGAGTATATGTAAATCACTAAAATTTGAGTTTTACAGTCACTGTCGAAGGAATCTTCAATAGTAAAAACTGTTGAATTTTAATTAGAGAAGATGTTGGAGTGTCAGGTCAATAAATAAGGTCACTGAGACAGCACTACAAATGATAGAAATAAAGGAAAAAACACCATAAGCATTAGGTCCTAGGGAA